TTCTGGACCCAAACACGGCACACGGCTTTCTCTATCTGTCTGATGATCTGACCAGCGTGAGACGTGGAGACATAGAGCAGAAGCTTCCTGAAAACCCAGAGAGAAACACTAAGTACAGCACTGTGTTTGGCTCTGAGGGCTTCAGCTCAGGGACACACAGCTGGGAGGTGGAGGTGGGAGATCATCCTTGCTGGGGTGTGGGTTTGGTTAAAGAGTCCGTTAACAGGAAGGGAAAGCGATCTGCTTCACCAGAATATGGGATCTGGAGTTTATGGCATCGTGATGGAAAATATACCGACTGTGCTGGTGAGACTGTGACAGTGAAGAAGAGTCTCCAGAGGATCAGAGTCCAGCTGGACTATGACATGGGGGAGGTGTCCTTCCACAACTCTGAAGACATGACTCACATCTGCACTCACAGAGACACTTTCACTGAGAAACTCTTCCCTTATTTCAGTGTTGGTCCAGCTAAAGACGCTAAAACATCCGACATCAAAATCTGTTAAAATTTGAATGATAATGACCTTTTCAAAGATTGGTGAAGTCATTTATTGGGAAATATATAGTTAGATAAAGAATAATCAAAATACTAATACTACATCATAAACATTTTTTAGAGAAACATTTAAATGAGTGATTATTGATATGAATCCTTTCCATGATAAAAAAAAAACGCTTTCCTTCCTCATGAACCTGTTTTTACTCACCAGGTGTGGCTGCAGAAGTAACAGCATTTTCTTTGAAGAGTTTCTGAAGCTGTTCTCTACGTTTTCTGTGAGTTTCTGTTTTATTACACAAAGGAAAATAACAGTGATAGGCATAAATAAGTTTAAAAGAAAGGTGTCACTGACAGAGGATCAAAAACTTTTGGTTCAGTAAATCAAATGATGTCAAATGATTGATGATCTAATGATTATTTCATGTTTGTATACAGATCATATGAGGACAATATTTGTTATTTGTTCATATTTTGTATCCATGATTGAAAATGAACTGGTAAAGATGTGATAAACAAGTTGTTACGGTGGAGTAGAAAGGAGTCTGGACCCAAGTGCAGAATCAGGACTTGACAAGTTTATTAACAAAAAACGCCTTTCGGGATATCCAAACCAAAAACACCTCTAGGAGGGAAAAATTGCAAAAACCAAAAAACACTTTGGGAATAACTAAAGGTGTCCAGGATCTAAAACTCACTGGAAGAAAAAGGTACAAGAAGAAACTCAAAACTATACTTAGCGGTGGCGGCTTCTCGAGAGCAAGGAACAAAGTGTCACGGGAGCATTCAGAGGAATCGTCTGACACAGGTGATCGTTTGCCATGGCCTTAAAAAGCTGGCTGATTGTGAATGTCCCACAGCTGGTGGAACCAAGCTCCCTGCTCTCGAGCAGCCCCGCCTCAACATCCTGCAGAGGAAATAACAAAATAAAACAGGAAACACAACCATAACACAAGTTATTTTTATATTAGAGAAGAACGGTAATAGTTTCAGGTGGAGTGCTTCTTAAAAAGGTATGTTCAATTTTGTTTTCCAAGTTAATAACAACAGTGATTAATCTAATGAAGAGTAAACTTCCCTTTGTAAATAAATTCTTCATCACACATTCTGTACTGACTGAGTTTGTTTCAGAGCCAGTTTGTTTTTTTATACAGAGAATATATGTTTAAACAAAAGTTCACCAACTGTGAGGTAAAGAGTGGCTCTAATGTCTCATATTATATGGCTTTATTCAATACATTTGATCATCAACCTTTAAAGTTCAAGATAAACCCCAAACTTTGCCCAAATGTACCATTTTTAAAAACTGACGCTAAGAATTTCCCGGAGGAAACGCTGCTCTTATTGTGAAAGGACGTCCGGAAGCAGGTGGCTACTCTCGGCTAAGTGCAGGATGAAGCTGTGAGGTAAACAGCGGCCCGTGCTGCATGTAAGTCTGGTTTAAGGAGTTTTTAACTCTCAAAAGACTTCATTCACACGGTGCTTTGTTGTCTGCTGCTATTATGTGATTTCTATGTGGGATAATTCCAGAATATCACAGCAAAGTTTGCTTCGGAGCTAAGCTAGCCGAATAAAACGTAAACAAATAAACGTCACTTCCGCCTTGAGCCTATTGGTCCGTTCAGTGTAACGTCACCGCGTCCGCCATCTTGGATTTGGCAGAACTGCCCGTAAACTAATAAAAGGAAACGGACTGAAAACCATAAAGCGCCTTTCTACAAAGTGCTTTAAGTTAATGAACCTTATTCACCATTTCACACACACACTAATATATCTGGGAAGCAAGTTGGCACCAAAAAACCGCCCGTAACTTTTAAAGTGAGGTTTCTAAATGTTTCCTCCTGTCTACGATATAAGGAAGCACCAAACCAGCGTCTGTAGTTTTAATGCTGAGAGTTTTCAGCTACTAATGTTTGTAACTCTGTTACTGTAATATAAATATTGTAATATTGAAATTGAACATGTAATCAGTGTCCATAATAACCAGATCCTGAAAAGTTGATGTGACTTCAGGGTTTTCTGGATAAAGAGCAGAAACATTTACATTTAATTGATTTTGAGTTTTTTAATTAAATTAAATTCACATTTATAATACACACACACACACACACATATATATCTACACACACAGACCTATACTATTTAACAAAAAGTAAAGTCCTATAAAGAACAAGACAATCAGTAATCAACATAGATTATGTTATAGCATACTATGCTAAAAATTAGTAATTTTAGCCGTATTCTAACATTCCTTTTAGAACTAAACTTTTGTGTTAAAGTCTCTGGCTGTGTTCACAGACTCTCTTTTCTCTCTTTTCCTTTTTCTATCCTTTTCTTTCTCAGTTGCATTAGATCCGGAGATGTATAAAGTACTGGAGTAGAAGTACAAGTACTATATAAAAAAATTGACTTGAGTAAAAGTTGAAGTGTTCTTTCAACACCAGACTTCAGTGGAAGTACGGAAGTACTCCATTCTTTTGTACTTACGTATTGCAATTAGAAGGATTTAAAAAATTGCTACGCGAGCATTGAAAGTACAAGTAAAAGTAAAAGGTTTGATAGATATTTCAAACGTGTGAAAGGCCATACAGGTGTTTACAGAAAACATAAAACAAAACACAAATAAAACTATCTCCAGCTCTGGCTCTGACTCTACGACTGGGGATGATTCATTACGTTTACATATCAGTAACAAGTAACGACTCAGCAGTGTTGGGTAAGTTACTTTA